ACAGGTGCTTTGAAGGGACAGAAAATACACCAGTGCCAGTTGTGAGCACCTTCCAGCATTCTGAAAAATCACTGATTTCTGCCAAACACTGTGGCCTGAGACCGAGCATCTGAACATGGGAGATGATCACCTACAATCCCAGAGAGAGAGAGAGAGAGAACTGGCTCAGTTGTGATCATGTGACGTTCAGTGTCACAAACTCCTCATATCACAAGACATCGCTCATTTGTAAAGGTAGAATTTATTAGAAATGTTTGCTCGTTGGGGCACCTGCGTGGCTCAGTTGGTTAAGCACAGGACTTCTGCTCAGGTCGTGATCTCCCAGTTCTTGGGTTTGAGCCTCACATCGGGCTCTGTGCTGACAGCTCAGAGCCCGGAGCCTGCTTCAGATTCTGTGTCTCCCTCTCTCTCTGCCCCTCCACCACTCGTGTTCTGCCTCTCTCTCTCTCCCTCTCTCAAAAATAAGTAAACAGAAAAGGAAGGGGAAGAAAAGGAAGGAAAGAGAGAAAAAGAAAAAAGACGAAAAAAAGGAAGAAAGAAAAATGCTCGTCTTGCGGAACACTCAGAACAAGTTACTCGCAATCCAAGGTTTTACTGTATTTGGAAGTTCTGCCATTATCTGACCAAATGACTTACATACACCTTTCCAGGATGTTTTCCCCCTGCCCTGTACATTCTGGCGTCCTCCCTGGGCACCTCTTGTATCTCCGTGTCCTTAACACATTTCCTGCCCTACTCTGTGCTGCTAATTGCCACTAGGAACGAGTGAGCAGGCTCTGGACGGGAAGAGGCACAAAGAGTGGCAGCCTGCAGCGGCTCTTACACCAGTGTTCACAGCAGCGTTCTACAAAGGGAGGACCCGCAGCCAAATCTGCCCCCAGCCTTTGGGACAGAAGGGAGGCAGCCAGGGAGGGGAAAGCCCAAAGTACCAGGTGCTTGGAGGCCACTGAAAACAGGGGTGGAAACAGGTGCCCTTTCTCGAGTGGCTCCCGTTGGAAAAGGTGCTGGAGTGGATGATGTGAATACGAAACAGCAAAAAGACCGCTCCCCACCCTGCTGGTGGGACTGCCTGCGGGCACTTGGAGAAAAGGAAGCAAGTTAGGAAGAAAAGGGTCAGATCCTCCTGCAGTGACAACCTGAGGGGAGTCCCTAAGCTACCAAGTCACCCCTGAACACATGAGCCATTCACACATACAGCACGGTTTATAAAGCGACTCAAACAAGGGCAGACAGCCTCCTAATTGCGGTGTAAGGGTTGCTGCTGTCCGTCTCCAATTATGCAGAGTCACACAGCTCTCAGCACTCATGGGGCCGACCCCGCTCAGCGTCACAGGCAGAAAAGACTCCGCTTCCATTCTGAGAAATTTATTAAAACAAAAACAAGCATTGCTTGTCCGTGGAAACAGTCATTTGCACTATGGTGGCACTAAGAGCAGAAAAGCAATTTTAGATACATTTTTTAAAATCACAAAATGTATCAGTTAAGGCACTACATCCCTCCCGTCTCATGTTTTCAATAAATACGCTGTTGTCTTAAAAAGGCAACAGTGAGCACCTCCGATCATTAAACCAACGCAGGCACTATTCTCGTAAAGGCGGTTACGTTTTGCTGTGGCCGCTGTATGTGATTTATTCTCAAAAGAGCTTTCATTAGCGAAGATTAGCATTTCAAAAGACAACTGAGAATATGAAAAAAAAAAAAATCACAGTTTTCTCTTTCCAGTTTTAAGTCTCTCCCAGAGAGACCCAAGTACACAAGGTACCGTTTCTTCATATATTCTTTGGCAACAAGGAATTACGCGTAAAGTACAAAAGATCACCTCCCAAGAAGTAAAGCCATTGGAGGTTAGGTGTCGGCACAGCATACGTCTTTGGAAAAGCACGTGGGGTTTTTTGGGCTTTTTGGCGTTGTGATTTTTTTTTTTTGCAGCCGTAAACTACAAAACTGGTGAGAAAACTCTGGACCTTCCGACATCCAAGAAGTCTGCTTCGCGGGTGCCCTGGTGCAAGGAGCTTGGCCAAACCGACGGGCGTACGTGCAGTGCGCACAGAGCACCAGACAGGGAGTCGAGTGGCAGCGTGCCCATTCGGGCCCCCCGTCCTCCCAGTCCTTCCTAAATAATACCAGCGGTGCATTTTCTGGCAGCCTCAGCAGCTCGCGGAGCATGTGCTATGCGTCGCCTAGTGTGGTCCTCTGTGAGACCACAGGGTCGGAGGCCACGTTTTCCGTGGTCTCTTCCCATCCCAGCAGCTCGCTAGTCTAATGGCGTGAACTGGTTTCCGTTGCAGCTGCAGCCGACAAGTGCCGCCTCACCCAGGACACAGTGACCACAGCAAAGAGGAGGGAAATTAACCTGCCACAACAATGCCAGATGGTTGGAGCCCCGGGTGCAAATCTTTTGGTCAAAGCACGCTCCACTCTCCAACTGAAAATCACCCTTTAACTGGACTTCGATTACTCACACAAGGGCGCTAAGACTTCTTTATGAGACAACATAACTTTCTCGGCAGAACGAGGTTGCATAGATCCGAGATTAAATTCGCATTTTCACATACTTGGTGTCTCCAGGCAGGTGAGCACCTAAAAGATTGGGCAGCGAGGTTGTACGAGGGGTGACATAGGGGCAAGGATCTTATGCGAGCCACACCTCACTTAGGGTGAGGATTGTTTCCCCCGCCTTAGGTCAGTCGTACAGAAGAGGTTGCTCACCTGGTTTATTTGACTACCGTGACATTGGGCGAGTGCAGGTTGGCAAGACTTACGCCGGAAAACACGCTTTTACCTTCTGGTGAGGAAACTAGGCACATGGTCAAAGCATCAAGAAATCCGGGACCTGCCTAATCAGATGCAGAAGAGAATACAACTAATTTCATTCCGAAATCATAACAGCATTGCTGTCCCTGCTAAGATGTGGTCTTCAGTGTGACTTTCTTTTATATATTATTGAAGTTGACTTTAAATTATAGACACAATTTTTAACCTTGTCATAAAACACGAAAAATCAGTCACTGAGAAGCAATCATATGCCAAGCATCTAATCACAAAAATAGAAAAGGGAATCCAAGAGCACTTCAAGAAGAAACTTCTGGAACCGGAGGGCAATTTAGTTGTTCTTCTCCAGGGACCGGTAATAATCCGTCAGGACTTTCCATGCTTTGGGGGCCATGAAGCCATCCGGGGGATTCTCTCCTTCCCGGGCCAGCTTCCTCATCCGGGTCCCTGAGATGAAGTCGAATTCGTTGTGCCTGTCACAGGACAGCAACACAGAACTCAGCGTGGGTGAGGCACATCGACCCTAAAGGTGCCCGCGGTAGGTGAGGGGGTGTTTAGACCCTGTTTTTTTCTGTAAAATGCTGCACTTTCTGGAATGGGTGATTCACTAGGTCTTCAGTAAAGGAATGTGCACAAGAAAGGGCGACTGATAGCAGGCATGCATTCGACATTTCCTGTGTACCTGCTCTGTCTTCTGCCCCGCCTGCGTCCGTGAGCTCTGAGCTCAGGAGAGACATGCTGAAAGCGAGCTATGGACGGACCCTCTACTGACATACCAGGCGGCCATGCTACGACTTTACTGGGACACACAATGTGTAAGACCGGTCTTGGCCTTCAAGGGACTCTCATTCCTGCTAGGAGAAGGTGGAGAAGCACTGGAGAGCTTGCACGGGGCCCAAGCTTTGCCGCCTCTTTCTGGTTGAGCAGATGTTGATGAAGGCCTCCTCCTCTGGAAACCTACCTTGCTGGATCGTAGAAGTCCATGGCTTTTTTGGCTTTGTTGTAGGCAGCCACTCGGAATGGAATGATTTCCACAGAGGTCAGGCCGGGGGCCATGCTCAAGACCTTGCCCCCATGAGTGGGTTCATACAGGTCTTTCTTGGTCTCGGGGTGAGGCATTCCAGCGGGGTCCCGGCCCACGATGTAGAAGTTGGCCCCTGCGATCATCCGGGACCTACAGTGCCACTGGACCTAGGAGACATCACGGGAGGGAGATGCTGGTCACCACTGGCCAACTCTTGGGTCCCTGTTTACAGAGATGCCTTTATTCTGCTGTAAAAATAATTCAGTGACAGGATCACCTAATAGGTGCAGAAGTCCGTGGGGTATCTAAGACCCCAAGCTCTTCTTCATGCTTGTTTACATGAGGTAGGAGCTTTAGACCCAAATCCCCCCCACCTGACCCCCCAGCTTCCTGGAACCTGAGGTTATATTTCCTAATCGCTCTCTCCAAACAGGCAGGTGAGCCAGGAGCATGGGGACCTTACTGTTCTACAGAACCATGTGAATCTTACTTTCCAGGCCCTCCCTATTCAGAATAAATCACAGTTTAAAGGAAATTACAAATTCCAACATCTTTGATTATCTGATTGCCAATAATGAGCTGATTATACACAGACATCAATTTTAGTTTGACACAAATATTGGGATTTCAAAATGAACTGCCCTGTCTAAAGCTCAGATAGAAATATGGAGGGTGGAGAAGAGAGCCAGAGACCAGGTACTTTGATCTGGTTGAAGAGAATTAATTTACTAAACTCGCTTTGGGGCATTCCAAACAGTTGAGACCCTCGCAGTTCATCATACTTCCTGCAAACATGTTCAAACCCGCTTACAGTGGTGGTGCAGGAGGACAAAGAAAGTCTGTTTGACAGGCTCTCTGTGTTATGATCAAAGGGGACACTGAGCTTTTAGTGGGGCTTTTTTTTTTTTTTTTCAACGTTTATTTATTTTTGGGACAGAGAGAGACAGAGCATGAACGGGGGAGGGGCAGAGAGAGAGGGAGACACAGAATCGGAAACAGGCTCCAGGCTCCGAGCCATCAGCCCAGAGCCCGACGCGGGGCTCAAACTCACGGACCGCGAGATCGTGACCTGGCTGAAGTCGGACGCTTAACCGACTGCGCCACCCAGGCGCCCCTTAGTGGGGCTTTCTAATAGAGCTCACCGGGCCTGTGTGGTGACTCAGTGACTAGACTTTGGAAATTGAATATTAGGTTCAATACAGTTTGCCCAATACCACCCCAGTTAAGCTGCATTATTCTCCTTATCTGCACACCAACCTCCGTGTTCTCAGAGGCAGTGCGTAACAGACTCGACTTGGTGTTTCTAGCATTTTTACAGAAATGAAATGGAAACCTAATGAAGTTGGATAAAGAAGAGAGACCAGGGGGCACCTGAGTGGCTCAGTTGGTTAAGCATCCAACTTCG